TTGGGGCTTCCACGTAGGGCTCCCTCCCCCTGCCCCTGGGCCTGAGCAGGAGAAGCAGGCCCTCTCCCAGCCCTGGGGGGTACCAGACATGGTGCCAGGAAGTGGACTGTAGCCTCCCCCCCCCCCCCCCCCCGCCCCGGCAGAGCATCCGACTGGAGTGGTTCAGGCAAGTACCAGCATCTGTGCGGGCAGGTGAAATGCAGGACTGGGATGTGAGGCTGGGGGCTGGGGGCTGGGGGGGGGGCTCTGCAGGTTGCATTTTGGATGATGACTCTGGAGGGACCGGTCCCCAGGGGAGTGCTGGGGGCCTGCGTTGCTGGCAGCCCCCTACTGGGGAGCCTGAGGCGAGCAGGGTGCAGCGGGGACTGGAGCCCCAGTCTTGCCTGTGAGGACGACTCAGGGCCCCTCGGCCCTGCCCGCTGGTCCTCGAGCTGCAGATGGGCTGCCGCTCGCTCCGTTGCCAGGCGGGCCCTGCTGGTGCTGGCTGAGGAGCGAAATCCTCTGGCAGCATTGAAGCACTGGAGCTCGGGCGTAGACGGCTTCAGGCTGGGGGGGGGGGGTGCAGCCACCCCATCCTGAGGCAAAACCTCTGATTACGATGCCTCCGGGGCTGCTGGGGGGATGGACCCCTCGGTTTCCACAGTGACTCAGACGTGCTTGAAAGACCTTGGGCAGCCTGGGGGATGGGGAAAAAATGGAAAAAACTGCAGGAGAAAGAAAAGCCATGAAGGAAATGGGGAGGGAAGAAGCAGGCCGACAGGGGAGGGGTGGGGGAGCGAGTAAGCCCGAAACCTCTGCTGGGACCCGGACTCGGGCACCTGACGCTCCGCCCGGTGCTGCTGCCCGCCTGCCAGCAGGGCTCCAGCGGCCCCTCGGCTCGGGTGGGCTTCCTGTTTGTCTTCATAAATCACCCCCCAACCTTTCCACCCTGCCGCTGCCTAACTGCCTGCTCCCCCGCCAGCAGCCCCCCCAGCTGCCGACCTCGGCCTCCCCGCGTCCTCCCCCACCTTCCTCCCACACCTGCATCCACCCACCCACCCACCCCGCCGTCCATCCGCCCACCCACCCACCCGTCTAGCCACCCACCCCTCCACCCACCCACCCACCCACCCACCCACCTACCCACCCCTCCATCCATCCACCCTTCCATCCTTACATCCATCTGAGGGTCTTTCTGGAGTGAGAAAAAGCAGGGCTGGGAAATCAGTGTTGGGGAGCATGAGGAACCCTGACTCGGGGACAGCACAGGTGCTGCACCAGGCGCTGCTCGTGCATGACCCTGCACCAGGGTGGTGGCAGGTGCAGGCCTGCTAAGCAGCAGGACTGGCTGGCGGCCAGAGGGGAGGGCATCTGGGTGCAGAGCGGGCCCGAGCAGGGTGGGTGGCGGGGCAAGCAGAAGGCAGGTCATGCTGTGTCCCCGCGGCGTGCAGGGGGCCGCTGGGAGCCTGCTAGGAGGCCAGGGCTGAGGCTGTGTCCAGAACTGGAGCCTCGGCCAGGTGTGGGCGTCGGGGTTTCTAAGACCTCCTGGAATGCTGGCGCCCTCCCCAGGGGCCCCGTCCCCCTCCACTGACTCGGGAGGTGGCCTCCCCAGCGCTGCTGGACACAGGGCAGGGGACGAAGCCGCAGGCGGGAAAGCCGCTGGAGGGGCACCCAGGTGTGCAGGGCAGGTACCGCAGGTGGGTCTGGCGGCCCTGGGGGGAGGTAGCCAAGGGCTGCAGCGCGCCGTGGGGTGTGACCTCGAGCCCCTGGCCAGGCAGTCAGCGGGGCCACTCTCCTTCCCTGCTGAGCACTGCTGGGGTGGGGTGACATGGGGTGTGGGTGGGAGGGAGCCAGCTGTGGCTCCAGCAGACGAGGAAATGTGAGCCTTGGAGAAGAGGAAGTGAGATGTGGCCGGGAAGACGAGCTGGGGGCGGGGCAGGCGTGGGCAGGGAGGCTGCTGTGCAGCGCCCGTCAGCTCAGTCTAGGGGAGACGCCCCGCGCAGGCGCCCTCTGCCTCAGTTTCCCCATCTCCAAAAATGAGGTGATAGCGTGACCCCTCCTCAGTTGTGGGCTAAGATCAAATCAAAGGTCAGAGGGGAGATGCTTCGGCCATGCCCACAGGTCTCACAGAGGGTGGGGTGTCAGCTCCCCCGTGCCTGGCCCTGCCCAGGGGCCCCACCTCCGGGAGGAGCAGCCGGGCAGCAGAGGAAGTGGTGGTGACCGGGAAGGGGAAGATGGTGAGGCCCTGCCCTGCCATGGAGCCTGGGAACTGCGCCCCGCCCCGCCTGGTGTCAGCACTAATTCTCAGTTGTCACCCATTTCACAGAGAGTCAGGGCGCCCAGGCTGCTGTGTCCCCTGGAGCCACACCCCCGGGAGGTCGCCGGTGGTGGAGCAAGGAGAGGCCGTGCAGAGAGGAGGCTGAGCTGTTGGGTGCTGGCCGCTGGCCGGAAGGGCGGCCTCTGGGTGCAGACCGGGAGGAGGGGTGCTGCCCACCTGCCCGCCAGGCAGGCCCAGGCTGGGCTCAGGCGCAGGCGCTCAGGGAGCCGCCTGGATTGCAGCCGGCATCGTGGACGCCTCTTGGTGGCCAGAACAGGCCCAGGGGTAGTTTCAAAGCCCCGTGAGCCTACACGCTTTCCGGGCAGTGTCAGACAGGGCGGGCCTTTGCCCCAGTGCACGGCGCGTCAAAGTGCGTTTCAGCAAGAAATTCCCAAGAGAACCCCCAGGTCCACACACGGCCTCTGTCTACCCCGGGTTCAGGCTCTTCCCGCTTCAGAGGCAAAAGCTCCCTGCTTCTCTGCGTGTGGTTTCACTGCTCTGTGCTGCCCAGAGAACAGTCTGGAAGGTCTGTTTGGGCTGAGGGTGATTCTGATCTCATGTCTTTACGTGGCTTGATGGGGGTGGCGTTCTCTGAGCCGCCCCCCGCGTGTGACACACCACCTCCTCCCCAGGCTGCTGGGCCTGTGGCCTGAGAGTGCACGACCCAGCTTGTGTGTGCAGCGTCTGGGGGTGGAAGGTCCCATGTCCCCGGTACTGGCACGTGAGCCGGGCGTCACGGCCCTGTGGCCCCTGCCAGCCCGGGACAGCTGCGTCCAGGAGCTGGCGTCTGGGGTGCTCCAGCCCACAGCTCATGGTTTATCACCCGGAGGAAGGATTTGGGGGCGATCTGGTCTTGGGGTCAGCGGGGACTGCAGTCCAAGGAGGGCACTGGGGTTCCTGCTCAGAGCGGGCCTCAGCTGGCTGTGCGCACACAGCTCTCCCCGCTGCCCGCTGGCCTTCAGTCTCAGCTGGCCCCAGAGAGGGGGGCCTGGCAGCCCAACCCGGCAGAGCCAGGCGCCTCAGGAGGGACAGGTCGGAGCCGCTGCAGTTCCCGGTACCCGGTCCTCGGTGGCGTCTTGCCCCTTGGGGCCTGCTGGCTCTGGGAATGGAGGGAATGGAGGCTCTGGAAGGCGGGGACTAGACCCCCGACAGGCAGCCCCAGGCACACGGCCCTGGGACCCACGGCTGCCTCTGGAGCTTCAGGGCGGTGGGGGGTGGGGGGGGTGGGAGGCAGGTGTTCCCATAGGTGCAGCGTCCTGTCTGCATCCGCCAAGGCCACACAGCAGGGCGGCGGGGGGGGGGGGGGGCAGGCACCAGCAGTCCCAGGCCCAGACCCCGGCTGCTGCAGAGGCCGGAAGGCGGATTGGGTGTCAGGCTTTGGGCTCGCCGGGCCCGGTGCTGTCTGGCCCGAGGCCTGTTGTCCTTGGAAGGGCTTAGGTGTATTTTGTCTTAACCTGAGCGGTTGAGAGGCCTGGAAGGGCCTTTTGGTTACGCCTGTCAAGGCCTTTGAAAATAAGCCTCCCCTTTGATGGAGCAATTCTAGATCTAGGAATTCTCTGCGGAGAGTGACTGTGGACACGCGTGAGCCTTTCGTCACGGGCTCGCGCCGCCCAACACCTGAGCAGACGGCGGGGTGGGGGCTCGGCCCCACTTGCCACGGTCATGGGGGGGTGCAGGGGTGCGAGGCTATTTTGTCTTTAATCGGATGTAGAACGTTCAGCTCAGTGAAGGAAAGTCAAGCTCCCTTTGCCGGGCGTGTTCCCTGCGTCTCCGAGATGCCCGTGCGTCACTGTCAGTGGGGGCTGCTGGGGTGAGGGACCACCCCGTCTGCAGAGCCGCCGGCCTGGTCACCGTGGGGCCCGGAGGAGGCTGCTGGGCAGCGCAGGCGTGTGTGCTGGGGAGGCTGCGAGATGCCTCAAATCCAGAAGCCTCCTGGAGAGGATGGCCGTGCCGGAACATTCTGGAAGGACTACCAAAGACCCCTCATGGGCGGTTTGGGGCTGCCATGTTCTTCCCCGGCCCCACCCTGTTGCTGTGCTAAAGGGTGTGAGGATGGAGGTTGGAGGCTGGAGGATGTGGGGTGTTCTCTGGGGAAGGCAAAGGAGACACAAGGCCTCGTATCTGCAGGGCCAAGCAGCGGGTCCCCTGCAGTAGGTGCCCTCTGGTTGAGCGCTGTCCCGCGGGTCCCCTCTGCTCGAGTTCGGTCAGTGCCCATGGCCGCCTCTAGCCCGACAGATGCTCTAGCCCAGGTCAGTTCTCCTGAGGCATCGCCTTGAGATCCCTAAGTCTGCGTGGGCCAAACCCCGACGATCAGATGACTTCTAGAGTCTAAACTGGATCTCCCGATTGCCAGACTAGTGGAGGGTGCCCCGGCCTGGACACCAGGTGGCTGAGGGAGGGACCGGCCAGGGCTCATCCTCCCTGCACCATCCCGGACCTGGGAGTGGCAGCCCAGGCAGGGGTGTGGCACCCGCAGGCACCGCCCCCAGGGCAGAGCCTCTCCCCCACCTCCCCCTGCACCAGAGCCCGCACCAGAGAGGCGGCTGTCTCTCTGCTCCTCGCCCAGCTGCTGAGCCAAATCTTTGCTCACCCTCGCTGGCTCCTCATGGTCCCTGACGTCACCCCTGCTCTGATGTCACAGCAAAACTACTCTTGTTCCCGTGGCAACGGCTGGCCACAGGTCACCAGCTGGGCCGGGTGCGGGGCTGCTGCTGGAGGTGGGAGCTGTGATTCCAGCCAACTTGGGTCAGTGGGTCCTGGAGCCCCCAGGCAGACCACTGGGGCCCCTGGGCTATGTGTCTCCCCTGGGCCGCTGTGGGGTGGGAGTGGGTCTGTGAGGCTCCAGACAGAAGCCTTAGGAAGCGGCCATCAGCTTCCCTGGGCTGCCCTTCTGGAAGGTTCCCTGGGCTGCCCTTCCGGAAGGCTGAGTTGACGATCCCTCCTCCATGTGGTTTGACCTGGGAGGCTGGACAGTGGAAGTGATAGGGCAGGGTTCGGGGCGAAGGTGGCTGTTTGGGGGGCTGGGGAAGAGGTCATCCTGCAGCAGGCACCGTGGTGGGGCCTGGGGGCCTGACCTTGCCTGGGGACCTGTCTGGGTGTTCTGTGAGCTGCCTGTTGGCTCAGCCCCAGGGCGCCCCCCCAGCTTCCCGGGTCCCTGTGTTGGGACCAGTCCCTGCCTCACCTTTGTCTTTGTAAAGCTGGGCAGGAAGACGGTGGCAGCACGGGGGTGCCTGAGTCTGTCCCCGGAGCCTGGTTGCCTTCTGCAACTGTCCCAGTCCTGACTGTGTGTGAGGGAGGAAGTCGGACCTGCAGATTCCAGGCGGAAAGCCGTCCGCGCAGCCTGCCAGGACTGGGTGTGCCCGACACCCCTGCCACGGCTGGCCCCTGGACGAGCCCGGGCAGCCTTGGGAACCACGCTGTGGGCCTTGGCCGGGTCAGGCAGCGGGCAGGGCCAGCTCTGGGCAGCACGCTCGGTGTCCACTGTATTTTTAGAAACTAGAGCTCCAAGAAGTGGGGTTGGAAACGTCCCTGATACTTGTTTTCTCCGGGCGTGACTTGCTTGCCTCCAGTGATGGGCGTCTCACTGCCTGTGCAGTCAGCCCGATGATCTCCAGACAGCCCTGTAGACAGTGCTTCCTCCCACCTGGCCAGCTCCCGCCTCCCTGGAATGTTCTGGGTGGCCTAGCTCAGTCACCTGGACACACGCAGTGAGTACACGCCCTTCCACCCGTGCCCTGGGCTGTCTCCCTGGGTGCTGAGTGCAGGGGCCACACCGATGGGTGCTGCTGTTGTGACCCCCACTGTCCAGGTACAAACTGAGGCACCAGAGCGAAGAAGCTTGCCCAGGTCACACAGAGCCCACTGTGGCCGCCACACCGTGCATGCCAGACTCCCCACCACCTGCACGCCCCCGCGGCATCCTTGGCCCCTGAGGACTTTCCTGCCTGCGGCCTGTCGTCTGGCCTGGCCACTCCTCCCCGTACCCCCCCACCCCCTCCTGCCACGTTCCCTGAGTCTGTCTGGGCACATCTGTCCTGGACCGGGTCTCCTCTTACTGAGTGCAGCTGCTTCCATGTTCGCTCCCAACACGTCCACGGCCACACTCCGACCTGGAGGCTCGTCCCGTGGCCTTGGCCGACTGAATGTCACCTGATGGAGACACCCTGGATTTTCCCGCGGTCACTCGTCACAGCTGTCTAGCCCATGCGGGGTCACTGCTCGTGCCCACATCTCGGTGGTGCTTTCCATACCCAGCGCTCCTGGTGCCACGTCCACTGAGCTAATGGCTCAGTGGGTCTGGCCAGGGCTGGGCTGGACTGTGCCCCGCTTGCTCTGGGCATTTGTGTCCATGCAAATGCAGACAGCGCTGGCTCTCAGGAGCCCGGGCTCTTGGCTGACTCCCGGGGTCAACTGGCTCAGACCCTCTATCTGCTGCCTGGCTTTTTGCAGCCACGTTCCCCCCCACTTTCTACTGTATGGTGGGGCTTGGAGACCCCCCCGTGAGCTCGATGTGTGCCTGTTGCATCCTGTCTTGTTGGATTTGGCCGGGTGTTCAGACCGCTCTCCAGCCCCGCAGCTGGGCCCAGGCCCGGGGGCGTGCATGGCCTGGGGTGTCTGCCTCTAGCCTCCGTCAGCTCAGATTCGAAAACCAGGGAGGGCACTTGGCTCGGGAGGAGCCTGTCAGGGCCAAACTGTTCCTCTTGCTTCAGACAGTTGTGCAGGCTTGTCTGTGTGGACGCTGGCCCGCGCGCTGTGTACGCCGCAACACAGGAGGAGCCGGTGTAGACATAGGGAGAAGCCAGGCTGCCTAAACTCAGGTCGCACTCCTGGTTGTGAGTTTAGGGGAGTCCTGCTCTGTACGTATTTGGGGCGGTCCTGTATTTCTCCAGCGCCCTTGAGGGGTTCCATATATTCCAGGCCTAAGAAGCCAGTTTTCAAGAAAAGGTCAAATGACACGTGTTATTCTGTGTCCTCAGAAGACAGAAAGGGCCGCTCTACCCAGGAAAGCGAGCTCTAATTACAGGGACACGTTCTCCGGCTGATGGCAGCTAATTGGGTTCCTTTAATATCTAGTTTTATGTTTCAAAGAAAGCTGACGGCCCGGCCAGGTGCTGGCCCGTGGTCTTCGGAGAAAGGCAGGGGTTGCTTGGGCCGAGGGGGCCCGGGCATCCTTGGAGGAAGGCGGAGCTGGGCCAGCCAGGGATGTGGGTGCGTGACGAGGGACCCGGGGCAGGGTGGTGCTGGGCCTAGGGTGAGACATTGGGGTGACGGGTGCCTGGCCAGCGTGCCAGCTGGGAATGGGAGCAGCCGGGTATTGCCCAACTTTGCTGAATGTCTCAGGGGGCAAGTCCCACCCTACCCACCCCGCCAGGGCCTGGCCTAGGACCTCTCTGGGGCGCGCGGAAGGGGCCTCGGCCTGCAGCTCAGGTGCCGGTGGTGCAGGCAGCCCGAGGCCTGTGTGGCACTTGGCAGGTGGGTCACGGGCTGTGAGGAGGAGCACCGCAGCCACCTTGCCACGGGAGGGGTCAGCGCAGGGCGCTGTGGGGTCAGGGCGGCCGACTGGGTCTGCGAGTGGGACTCGGAAGGGACGGGCTCAGCTGCTCCGGGCCGTGAGGGCAGTGAAGGCGCAATACCAGGTAGACGCCCCAGCAAGGGGCTTGCTGCTCAGAGTGTGGGCCTCGGACCAGCAGCAAGGCCAGCCCCAGAGGGTCCTTAGGAATCAGAACCTCAGGCCCCGCCCGCGCCTGCTGAATCCGAACCTGACTTAACTAGATCCGAGATGCTCTGCCCAGTCCCACCTTCCCTTGTTCCGTGAGACACTTGCGTGAACCCGGGCTCCGTGCCGCGGGCCCGGAAGGACGGGCGAGGTCAGAGGTCGGGGCTGCCAGCTCAGATTTGAATCCTTGCTCGTGAGCTGTGTGGCCTCGGGCAAGTTACTTAACCTCTCTGACCCTGTCTCCCCACAGAAAGTGGGGCGCAGGATAGAGCTTCTCCCATGTGTGGTGTTTCCTCCATGTCTTGACGTCACGGCCACGCTGGTCCCCGTGCACAAGAGAAAGGATAGTCACGTGGGTGGACACAAGACCCTGGCCCAGGGGGTGGAGGGAGCTTGGCTCCTTGATGAACGCCTCACACAGCCTCTGACTGTGGTGCCGGCCTCCTCGTGGGGCGGGGTGCCCTGGAGTCTCCTTGAAGGCCCACAAGCAGGGGCCTGCCCTGGGCCTGGACTTCCTTGGGGGTCCGGCTCTGGGCCGAAAGCTGTCCGAGAGATGGCCTGTGTGGCCGCTGAGGGCTGGCAGTGTGCTGGGGCCACAGAGCTCGACTGGAGAGAATGAGTCCAGTGGCGACAGGAGGCCAGCCGGCGTCCACCCGCCTCCCCGTCTGCGGCTCTGAGGGGCTTCTGCATGGGCAGGGTCCGTGGTTTCCCTGCTGGTAAAAGACAGAAGGCCACGGCGGCCTGTTCAGTCCGGAAGAGCAGGATTAGACCGGCAGGAGACCCCCTCAGCGGTGCCCACCACCGGGGCGCAGAAGCGTCTCTGCCCACCACTGTCACGTGGCTCCTGTCGCTCGGCAGGCGCCGAGCCGCCGCCTGCCCTCTGGTGGCACCACCCTCGCGGGAAGGCCTGGCAGAGCCCCGACGGCTCCTCGGGAAGAGCTCACACAGGCTTGTCCTTCTCTCGGGAGTGCATCAGTCAAGTGCCCAGCGTGCACGCGCCTGCACACAGCCCTCCCCACACTGCACACACACTGCACGCACACTCCTGCCTGGCGGGCTCCTCCACCCGCCCTCCTTCCATTGCAGGCAGCTGTCCATCCGGAGGGCCAGTCTCCGGCATCCTCTCCCCCACGGAACCCCAGTGCACTTCCCAGGGTGGGGTGCCGCGGTCTGCTGGGGCGTCCTGTGCACTGTAGCGTGCTAACAGTGCCTTCCCCCTGGATGCCAGTGGCCCGGACAGCGACCACACCTCCTGGAAACAGCTACCCTGTGAGTCCTTGTGAAAAGCCTGCAAGACAGAAGGGGGGGAGCAGCAAATAGCCCCTCGCAGGCGGGTGCTGGGGGAGGCTGGGGGGCGCGCTTTAGAGCTAGCCCCTGCAGCAGAGCCCCTGTGCCTTGTCCGCAGGGGCTCGGTCATTCTCCTCGGGACACTCCGGCGGCCGCCCGTGTCCTGCCCTTGCAGGCCAGACGAGGACCACCCTTGACACCTAGGTCTCCGCCGGGCGTCTCGGCTCAGGGCTCGCACCATCCTCGCCCGAAGCCAGGCCCGCACAGCGCTGCAGCATGAAGAGGAATGTGGAGCGAGCTGCGCCCTGCCCGGGGCCCGACGACAGCGACAGCTTGCTTTCGAGGCAGAAGCACAGGTTGCTGCAGGCCAGGGACGAGGGCGACCTGGCCGAGCGGAGGAGGCACGACCTCAAGCAGCAGAAGAGCCAGCTCTTGCGGCGCCTGGTGGAGGAGTTGAGGGCAGAGTGGCTGGAAGCCCCAGACCAGCTGGTCCACACCCTGGAAGGCCTGTATTTGGCGTATCTGCTGGGTGGGGGAGGGGGGCGGACCGTGGACAATGAGCCCGGGCTGGAAGGGCCTGCCCAGCGAGGGGCCCCTGGGCCTCGAAGGGCCGGGGAGAAGCACAAAGCCAGGGAAGAGAAGAGCCGCAGAGAAGAGCCGGCGCGGCCGCAGCCCTGGTGCCCCAAGTCCCAGAGGAGGACAGGCCGGTCTCACTCCCCTCCTGTCCCCAGCCCCCCGAGAAGCGCAAAGGGAGACGCGGGCCAGCGACCAAGACCTGCAGCCGCCGTTCCGGGGGCCCTCTGGCCGCCCCAGGGGAGACCCAGCGCCTGGAGGGAAGGGGGCAGCTGAGCAAGGGGGCAGCTGGGCTCATCCGGGGCCCGAGCAGCGGCTCTGCGGCGCCCAGGCGGAGGGGCAGGTTGAGAGACTTGGAGCAGCTGTGGCCATCGGGACCCACCCCCAGGAGGCGAGCCCCACGGCCGGCGGCCCCCTGCAGGAGCGGCGGCCAGGGCAGGTGGCAGCAAGAGCTGGAGTCCGCCTTCGAGGAGCTGTTCGACACCAACAGGAAGCTGCAAAAGCACCTCAGCCTGCACCTGGACCTGAAGCCCGGACAGGCCCAGAGTCCCCAGGAGGAGGACTCAGAGACACCTGACCCAGGCGGGGAGGCCACCAGCGAGGCGGAGACGGAGCGGCCGCCCGCCGGGGAGCCCGCCAGCCCAGCGGAGGCCGATGACCACCACGCAGCGTCCAGTACCACTCTGAAGAGGCTACTGAGCAAACTCCAGCACCAGAACCACCCCCAGGGGCCCAAGCCCGGGCTCCGGAGCGAGAGTCCACCGCCTGCCCGGGCGGGCGTGTTCCCCGGGGAGGGGGGCCCGCTCTTCTGCAGCTTAGAAGCCCGGCAGCAGCTGCGCAGACCCGACCTGCAGCCGGAGGGCTCCCTGCAGCGGCCCCCGCTGGAGCAGCTGGACAGAGTGGACGTGCTGGCGTCCGGGCTGAAGCAGAAGACGGAGCTGGAGCAGAGGTGGTGGAAGCAGCTGGACTCGCTGGAAGACACCGAACACCCCAGGGTGAGCCTGGGCGCCCCACACGCGCCGGAGCAGGCCAGAGGGGAGCAGGTGGGCGCCTACCTGGCCCGGCTGCGGGCCTGCTCCTCCCGCAGCCCAGGGGAGAGCGAGGACGTGCGCGTGAGCTCCTCGCCGTCCACCACCAGCATCGTCGAGGACGACAAGCACAGCCAGATCCTCCACAAGCTGCAGCAGCAGATTTTAGAGCAGAACAGGCTGCACAAGCAGTTTCTGGAAGAAGCCAGGAAACGCTTGCAAGAGTTTCAGAGACCATGATGCGAGCGGGTCGCACCGATAAATACGTGGCTGCTCAGACACGTTGTCACACGGTCCAGTCTGTGAGCTGTTTCCGTCATCCGCTCTGACCCTCCCGGCCTTTTGCAAAGGGTCCCTGGGAGCCTGGGCTTCTGAACCAGATCCCGCCCTGGGGGCGCTGGAGGGTGTGGGGGGCGGGGAGGCCACCAGCTGGGAGCTGTCCCTGGGCCACAGGAGCGCCAGGTGCAGGAGGTGCCACCGGGGTTTTAGCTGGACAAACGCTGGACCCTCGAGGGGGTCAGGGTGACAGCTTCACGATGCCGCCCTTGTCGCTCGGCCACCGGCGTGACATGAGCGGAGAGATTTAACCCAAACCTCTCAGCCTTTCAAGCCAACCAAACCAGGTCATTGATAGGACACCACTGGGCGGAGAAGAGGATGGGGGTGGCCCCTGTCACCCGCCCCTGTCTTGTGAGGGCCCCTCGTGGGCTGGCCCTGGTGGGGGACCTGGGGGCGGGCTGGTTTCTGCCCTCAGCTTCTCCCCTGACCTGCAGCCATGGGGCACCCGGCTGGGGAGGGGTGTGTCTGCCAGTGTCATAGTTAGGGACTGGGCAGGGCTCCTCAAGCTGCTGCAGGGAGCCAGAGAGGAGACCCGCTGGGCTTTGCCGGCCATCGGCCCCGTGGCCGCCCCTCGGCCGCCTTGGAGGGTGCAGACACGACGGGCGTGGTGGAGCCCCGGCAAAACCTGATTTACAAAATGGGTGGCCGGCCGGACGTGACCCCCAGGCCATCGGTTGCCGGCCCCTGGCCTGGTGTCTCCGGGAGGTGGTTCCACAGCCGGCCTCCCTCCCTCCCAAGGACTCAGGGCCCCGCTGGGCCAGCCCCAGCACTTCCGCATCCCTCTCCCAGGAGTGACCTTACTCATCTTGTGTGGATTTGGTAGCCACTGTAACAGCAGCTGTGAGTCACCCCAAACCCAGGCGCCGCAGCTGCTGAAAATCCACTGCCCCTTCCCTTTTCTGAGCTCTGTTCGCCTGCTGAGCTTGGGGCGCGTCTCTGCCTCCCCTCAGTGGGGTGTCCAGCATTCACGAGCCTGTGCATTTGCTAGGGTTTATTTTTCCAGTTTTACTTCTGTTTGAACTTCATAAAAGAGGATGCCCGGGCAGGTGTCTTCCGGAAGCCTCGCCCCGACGCGGCACAGTTCCGACGGCCGTGTCACATGGAGGTGACGGTCCAGGTCACGGCCTTTCCCGGACCGCAGGGACATCTGTGCCCCCAGCAGGCAGCTCTGGGAAACACCCAAGGCCACGCCTGACCGGCCTGGAGGGGCCGTCACCCGCCCTTCCCATTCTCACCTCTTACCCCTAAAATGTTGGTCTGACCCTGTCCTGATGCCCGGATGCACACGGTGACGGGCGCTGCCCGGGGACGGGAGATGGCAGGGGGCAACAGGGGCAGAGGCCGAGGCCAGGCGGCTGGGCGGCTGTGTGCCCCAAGCCAGGCTTCCCAGAAGAGCGTTGCTCACAGAGCCCCAGACGCAGCCGCCTGCTTGGGCAGCAGCGGCACCCCCAAGTGTAACTACAGCTCAGTATTTTTCCACCAAGCCCCGTCCACCCGGGCCCTTCCTGCCTCGTCCCTCACTGTTCCCTGGTGTCCGTTAGTTTCTGTAAGTGTTTGGCTTGGCCACGAGCTTTTTTGCCTGCACTGTTTACACATCAGTGGCCTGGGTGGGGGCCTCCTGCACCCCACGTTGCCACTGTGGGTCCCACTGCCTACGGCCCTTCCTGTGACGTTGGACCCGCCAGCTTGCTCCTGGGGCGGCTCTGCCAAGCCCATCGCTGGTGTGGTCAAGGCGACTCCAGCCAGGACAGGCCTGGACAACCCAACCACAGGCAGGACAGGGCTGTGCCGCCCATGGGAGCAGGGTCCCCAAGCCGGCGGGCCATGGGCTGTGGTCACCAGGTCTAACCAGGGGCTCTGCCCAGAAGCCAGAGACTTGTCGGTCTTGGGGTCAGTTTTGCCTCCAGTTTCAGCAGCGCATGGGGCTTTCGTGTCCAGGTGGGGAATCGCCCCTCTTGGGCCACACTTGAGCTAACAGGAGGATGGGCAGGAGACGGGGGAGGGGGGGTGACTCATCGCTGCCCAGACTGTCACACCTACGCTGTCCTGGCCACCGGGCTCGACACCCTGCCCCCCCACCTGTCCTGGGGAGGGCCAGAGGCAGCCCGGGAAGTCATCGCCCAGGTCAGGGGTGAATGAGGGGGACGTTCCTCCAGGACCCCCACACCCCAAAAGACGACAGCCCTCCAGCGACCCCTACGCAGGCAGCTCGGGTCACTGTCCATGGCCCGGTCGTGTCCAGAGGGCAGGCAGGGGCCGTCCTTACCTCCTCTCAGTCACTTCGGCTGGACTGTGCGAGGGGCCCTGGGGTCGCCACCTAGAAGGGCCCGGGGTCCCTGGACACTGTCCATGGAGTGCCCAGAGGTGGCAAGGGCCCCTGGCTGGTGGCGGCGGGCGCCCTGTGTGCCCCGGGGGCTGGCAGGACAGCAGAGCCGAGCCTACCCACAGGCAGGTGCTGCCTGGCAGTGCCCACAGCGCAGGACGAGAGATGGGGGACCCCGTGATCTGAGAAGGCTGGGGCGAAGGTGCAGGGGAAGGAGGGGGGCCGTTACTTCCTCCCCCCTATTTTCACCTTTTCACTCTGGAAGATGCCGACCTGCCCCCACACTGCTCCCCTGTGACCATGTGACCCGCACCTACACTGGCTCGGCTGGCAGGCATCCTGGGGGGGCCCCCCATGCCTCCCCGCCCCTCCCCCGCCAGGAAACATGCTTTGAAGCTGGGAGGCGATGGGGGACCCCCTGCAACCCACAGTCGTTCTTCCAGTGATCTGAAAATGGCAGCGAGAGTCGGGCCGCCCGCCCCCGCCTATGCTGGAGGGTCTGGCCGGAGGTGCCCTCTTCCCTGCGCCCGGCTTGCCCAGGCTGGACCCCCGCGGTGCAGCGCGCCCTCCGCCCACTCCAGGAGGCAGATCTCCGCGCGTTGACAGGGACTTGAGGAGCATGGCGTGCCTCTGTGGCCCCTCCAGACCGCTGGACTGTGGGCCCTGGGCTTCTCCACCCGTTTCTGGGCCCCGAGAAACGCTTGGGGTTGGGATTGGCACAGGCTAACCCACGGGTCTCGGCGTCCCACATGGGGCCGGGGCTGCCATCTTCTGGTGCCGACGGGCGGGGCCCGGTCCCATGTCGACCCTGCTGCGGGCCAGCAGTGGGCGGCTGACCTAGCTGCTGAGCTGCCCCGGCCCCCAGGGCCCCTTCCTCAGCCTGTGGGCGAGGCCCTGCCCAGCTGTGGGGGTCCTGCCCTGTGGGGCAGGCCGGGCTGCAGGGCTCTGGGCTGGCTGGCGCCTCCCCTGGGTCTTGGCAGAGAGCGCGAGCAGCCCTCCCTCCACAAAGCCGCCCTGTTCTCAGCAAATCCTCCCAGCACCCGGCACATTTCTTTCAAATGATTCAGCAGCACGTGAGCGGGAAGGGCCGAGCCCAAGGCCTCGGAACCGTGACCCAGGCCTCTGGCACCAGCACCCGCTGGGCCCGGGGGCAGGTGGGCAGGGCTGGGGCGGGGGTCCTCGCGTGCCGGGGCAGCAGCCCACCAGCCCTGGTGATGCCGCCTCCCTCGCCCTCCAAGCGGAGCCAGCAGAGGGACAGGAAATGGGGATGGGAAAGCCGGTCTCCATGGCGACGGGCGGCCAGCGCAGCTCACGTGTGCGGGCGGGCGGCTGAGCTGGCCGGGCTGAGCGGGTGGGAAGGGGCGGTGCCCGGCGGGCCTGGCCGGTCCGGGTCCCACGCTCGCTCCCGGCCGCCTGGGCGGGGTCCCGCGCTGTTTCCTGTGCTCGGTCGTGGACCTCATCATGCTCCCTGCCCCACCCTCAACCCCCCAAAACAGCTGAGCGGCCGGCCCTCCAGGCCTCTCTGACCCGGCCTGAGTCGTGCTGGCCGCGTGTGCCCTCTCCCTGGCCGCATGCTGCCCTGCCGTGAAGACAGGCGTCTTGGGCTCTTTGCTCTCCCCAGAAGACCCGTC